GTTTATTCTGACATCCTTTTAGACACCGGAACCCTGCTGTTGAGCTGGGGAGTTGGCTCAGCTCAGTGATCGTAGCCTTTGATCTATGACCAGCTTGATTCCTGTGAAACTTACTTCTGGAATTTCTTCCCCTGGTTCAGCCTACCTGTCATGCTGTCTTACTTCTTCATGCTGAACTCTCTGGCATCAATTCACAGAGGGTCACCGACGATTGCATGCCAGGCAGACCTGGCACTCGGTTTCCTCCCAGCAAGTGAGAAAAAGACTGGCCTCCAGTTTCCATGTCCACCACCAGAGAGTGGAAATGCCCCTCCTGCCCTCTGTCCATTCTCCCATGTCCTGACCATTAGAGGCACTGGATTTTCAGTTCAGAATGAATCTTCCTCATTCATATTTTTCAGATTTCCTCAACATCTGACAGATAGCTCTTACCTCATTTCCAGTTTTGACTCAACATTTACCCGCACCTACTACTTACTGTCAGTTGGAAACTTGAACTCTGCGGTTTTGTTTTGACCTAAATGAGTAGTTTTGATCTGAGCTGAATGTTTTGGTTCCTCCATTCCCAGAGAACAAAGAAAGTCCAACGCCTTGCATTTTGGCATGTTAGTGTTTTTAACAGACTTAAGCTAAACTCAAGAGGTTAGATTATGATATTAAGCCAACTTTTTGGCAACAGTTATGTGGATGAAAAACAAAGAAACTACTAAGAGAGTATACTTTGGAAGGAATGAAGACATTTCAATGACTAAGAGTTAAAATCATTTCAGTAGAACCACACTTCTGCAATGATGGAGTCAGTGGAAAATATTATCTGAATTACAGTTTTCCAGAAAACATGTAATCAGCACGAAATTTTAATAGTGTTTCAGAACTACACAAACAGGAGGTCATAACCTTTTTTGATTCATTAGGAATCTTTGGAATGTAGCTCTCTCAGAAATGTCTAGGTTGAAGCATGAATTAATTGAATTACCTCTTGTCGCAATAGACGCTCTGCCTGGTTTCTGGTAATGTTTTTATGGTACCATCTGTAAAAGCAATTTTTAAAAAAGATTTAAAATTTTATATTCCATTTTTTCAGGAAAAGTATTTCATTTCTATCTTTAAGAACTTACTCCAAAACTGATATAAGCCCATGGGTTCTTTTTGACTCAGAGAAGGGATACTGTTTTACTGTGTCAATTATTTTACTTAATAGTGTTTTTCATTTCAAGCCAACATTGTTTATTCTTTAATATCTCAGTTTAACAATTTGACACACATTTAGTATATAATTTCCAATAGTTTAATCTCCTGTCAATATTAAAGAAGTTTATGTGGTTAACAAATCATTTTCAGCAAATAATCCCCACCCCCACCCCTTCTGGAACTTCCCCTAAGCTTCCTTTTATAGATGTTATGTCATAACTCATTGCTGTCAGGTTGCTTCAAATTCCTAGGGTTTCTTAGACTCTACATCTTTATGAACACAGTCAGCCTCATCTTTTCCCCATGAGACAGATCGTGGTTTTGAACCTCCGACCTTGTGAGTAGCAGCTCAACGCTTATTCCATAGCACCAGCAAAGCTCACTGAACTATACTACCCCTCACAAAATTAAAGCATGCTGTCATCTGATTTGACTGTCCTGAGCATGTTAACTCATAACAGAGATGGCTTAGCAGAGCAAGTAAGGCAACCATTGCCCGAAAAATCTTCCTTGGTTTTTCTTTCAGTGACTCACTAGGCTCCACCCAACATGGGATCATTTCTTTGCTCAAATTCACGAAGCCCTTTCTCGGTTCATTCAGATCCTGCCATTTGCTTTGCAGGCAACACTCTATTAAACAGCTTCAGAATATCAAACTACACTGGAACTCTCAGTAAGTCATATTATAATTTAAACATAACATGTGATAGGGCAACATGTAGTCAGCAAGCAAATGTAGGGCAAGATAAAAGAAAAGCATTGAACCCCAGAGAAGTTAAAAAGAAAACAAAACAGAAACCTTTTATTTCAAAACAACATATAACAGGAGTCGACCCAAAACACTATTTTTCTGCTGGGTGGGAGGAAGAATTCACATGTAGCCACAGACTCTCAGTGGGTGCAGCAGCGGGGCGCGAAATGAGACTCTGAATCGTGAGGTTGAGGGTGGAATTGTTTC